AAAATATGTTAGAGAAAGCATTTACTATTTTCAATTGGTACTTATAAAAATACAAACTCAATCAAAACTGTTTTAATTCTGAAAGGCTGGTATCAGTGTTGGACACAGCAGAACTGTGTGTGTAGCATGTAGCATCTTTGGCAGCTAAACTTCAAACTAAGAGCGTCAAAAAATAAAATGAACAACATTTAAATAACAAATAAGAAATTTATGTATAAAATATGGTAGAGAAAGCATTTACTATTTTCAATTGGTACTTATAAAAATACAAACTCAATCAAAGCTGTTTTAATTCTGAAAGGCTGGTATCACAGTTGGACGGAGCTATAGTTCTGGTTTGGATTGGCCAATCCGCCACTACTTTCAAATTAAACCTATAAAACAAAAAAGAGGTTTGTGTCAGTCCTGCCAGTCTTCATCTGGAAGGAGAGGAAGACGTGACACAGGATGAGTGACAGTTGTCTTCGCTGTTAGCGTTAGCTTTCACATTTTTTTTATCTGTTTAGCAGTTTAGCGTTAGCAGAGCTACGATTCTCGTTTAGTAGATTAGCGGTTAGTGAAGTTAACTTTTTTGGCTAGCTGTGCCCACTACTGACAATCTCCATTCCAGCTCATCCCAAAGATGCTTGGTGGGGTTGAGACATTAAATTCCTCTACCTTACTTTGTGAAGCAGATTCATTTTAGGTCAGAAAGTGGGTTTCTGCCACAGAGTTTAAATCATAAAGTGTCCAAAATGACTTYGCTGAAGAATTAAAACTTCAAATCGTAGATCAATGGCCTAACCCAAACCCTGATTGAAAACCTAAGTTCAACAATTACCAGGTGTGCCTAAACAGTTTTGTTCATATAAAGTAGATTACAGTGAGTTTCCTGAGTTAATACATTTTAAGGAGATGTTCTGCTCACCTCAACCAGTCTGGACGGCTTGTGGCTGACCTCAGTCTTGTTCAGAGGAGCGAGCTGCTGCACCAGGTTRCGGTTGTTGGTGAGGGCCCTCGTGAGCCTGGCAAATTTTGTCCATCCTGTCCAAAACACAGAATTTTATCAATATCAAATGTGCTGGAGCGTCATCTTTAGTAGCGTAGCATTTCCAGTGCTGTGCAGAAGTGATGAGTCGTTCCTCCTTTCTGTATACTGCTTCCAAAGTGGTCTTAATCAACAGATCTTCAGGCTTCTTGGAGGTGTTTTACAATCTTATGAGGTCTTTCGGGGGTGTGGGGGGGGGTAATAATAAATGGTGTTATTGTTTTCATTTTCCACAATAAAACCAGTCAAACGGCCTCTTCCCCATGTGGGCCTTTTGTCCTTTTCTGTCCGTGAAAAGTCTCAGTGGCCCTTTAATCCCCAGGGAAGTGGCCCCCCGCACAGACCCTGAGAAAGCTGCGTTCACTGACCTGAACACSCAACACCTGGACAGTTTTATGTTAAACACCAGGAGACAGATGTCTGTAAAAATCACTCATGTGAACTGAAGAGTTGTGGATTCACTTCGCCCTCRTCTGTCGGACTCTCTCCGGTTTGAGACGGACCCTCACGTTTCAGCCTAGAATACTAGTTTGGTTAAAGCCCGCTCACCTCTGGCTGACTCGTCGTCGATGGGCTGTTTGAAAAGCGTGATGTCTCTGAAGGTGCAGAGGAAAAGCACCACCTTGTCGTTTTCATTTCGGATCGGAGCGATCTGCATGTAAAGCCATATGGGTGTTCCTGTTGAAAACAAAAAAAAAAAAACATGACGAGTTTTTTTATAGACAGCAAGTGAAAAGGAGACTCCGGTAAAAAAAAAAAAAAAAAAACATGACGAGTTTTTTTATAGACAGCAAGTGAAAAGGAGACTCCGGTAACTAAGCAAACGTCCCTTATATTTGTGTTATTTTGAGACAGGGTGTTGTGATACTCACTGTTCTTTGCATAGAGAAGCACTTCATGAAAATTCGACTCGTGGCTGTCAAACGTTTGTCTGATTTTTTCGATCGTCTTTCTGTCCGTCAGGTCACCATACATGAAGCTGGAGAAGAAGATGTAACATGAACTTTTCTGTAGATGAAAATGCGCTGTGGATTTTGTTTCTGGGTTTCTTCTTTGGTTTTGTGAACGTCTGTTAAGTTCTGTCTGTGTTTGTTTTATCAGTCAGTGTTAATTATTTTATGTGATGCCTTTGGTTTTAGTCTTCTGTTGCTTTGCTTCTTTTGTCTTTTCCATCAGGATATATTCTGTCTGGTTCAGGAARTTGTGATCGTTCTTTTCTTGGATTATTTTTACACTTATCAATGTTGGTTTTTGGATTTTTATCAAATTTATTTAAGTTTCTGTTATTAAAGTTTATGTTTGCTATTTGCTGCCTTGGGTTTGAATTTGAGTTTTCCACTTTTACCAAACTCTGTCAACAAACTCATTGTTGGACATTATCTGGTTAATATTAGAGCTCAAAAATTGTAGTTTATRAGGTCTATTCTGTTTCTGTGCCTCTTACATCTCAATCGAGACATCATGAACACAAGTATGTTAAAAACTAAACAAGAAAAGACAAAACATAGATTTTCAGAAACCAACTCCAAGTTAAGTTTAAGCCCAGAACAGGACAAAACTGAGGCTCAAAACCTTGAAAACTCCATTATTGACATATTTTATACATGTCTTTATGCAAATGTGTGCATTTAATTAGTACTATTGTACATTTTSTGCTATGGTTAGATAAAGCTAAACCAGTTCCAATTATAACCTTAAAAATAAAGTAAAACAATCTTTGGAAAGATATGTCTAAAGGATTTTTTGTATCAATCCTAAGTGACTGAATTACTGCTTTTAAGATAAAATAATTAAAAAAAACTTGCAAGTGGGCAGGGTAGTTTTATTTTAGAAACCAATTTCTGGTTGTTTAGCAGTACTATAATTTAGAGCTCTGTTATTAAT